TTCTAAAGTTGACTCCATGGGTGCTGTTAATGGTGAGAAAACCTGTTGAAAATTTGTATTATCGTTTATATATATTTCTTTCGCGGAGGCCAAAACATAATGATCAACTTCTTGTTGAGAACTATCCGCAAGCTCCTTGTCATTTTCTTTCCTCTTCGTACCCAGCAATATTGGAGCGCGACACATCTCATTGTATAAAGCTTTATTATTGTATATTGAATTGGAATTGATGGCAATATTACGAAGAATTGAGAGATATTTATCGACATTATCACCGACGCTTTCCCAAAACTCCCGCGAAGACCTCACGAGAAATTCCGCAAACTCCATAGGCGATGGCTCTGTTTTTACCCCACAACTAAGTAAAAACTTATTTGCTTTCTCTCCAAAGTCAACGTACGAAAAATATTCTCGGAGACTAAGACATAGTAAGGATTAAGATACAGCAAACAAATAAGCACATATAATTACGTTTAGAAGAAAAACATACCTCTCTTCGGAGCTCTTGAAAAAGCAACTGCGTGGATTGGTATAAACAATTTTATTGGGATGAGCTTTATCTCGAATCGGAATGAAATAAAGGCCTCCAAGTTTATTCCAATCGTAACTGTTAAAGTTAGCTTGTTGAGATGCCAAATAACCGAAAATTTCACGAGCCACAACCTCACTTTCCGGAGGATTCTGAACTAATCTACTTATGAGTTGTTCACGAGATGGATGTTGACGAACGCCCAACTCTTCAGCGCGAAAACGAAGATCTTGATGCAAGGCATGAAACTTCATAATTGTACAATCAGGATTTGAAAAACATCCCATGGGCGTTTCAAATACGTTGGGATCTGTGCATGGCAGAAACTGGATCCTAATCTCATGAGCTTTATACTTCGAAGAATATTTCTCTTTGAAATTGTCAATAAAATATTTTAGAGCCTCTTTCCTAATGTTAGTCTCGGAACTTGGTGAAGCAAGCTGAAGAATAGTCGCGAGTGGTGGATATTCTTGGAGACCCAAAGAAAGAAGGAACTTGGCTAAAATTAGAAAGCAATCAAGCAGGTTAATATTAAGTTAAAAAAGGAATTAATTATTAATTAACAAACCTTCTTCAGAGTTTCTACGCCATTTTCCATTCCATTCAATAACGGGTAACCCAAAAGTTCTCATCTCTGGCGACGGCACATACAGTTCGCTTGCCATAAATCTGGTTGTACTCGGTTTAACTTCTCCGCTTTGGGTCTTTGCTACTTGTATCCCTGCACCCTGTTCTTTTGGCCAAATCGCTGTAACCTTCAACCTTTTCATTTCGATCTCTTTAAGGCTACTTGATACTGAAGATAGATATTTTACAAGTTGCATGTGATCCCAATTACCCTGACTAACTAAGCGGTCGAAAACAAGTTGCAGATCAACGTGCTTTGAAATACGAAGTTAGGTTTGTCAGACGTTTAATGTATCTTCAAGAATATATCGAACATCAGAAAACAACTTACCTTTCTAACCCCAAGTAATTGCAATAATTTTTCTGGAATTTTATTCTTAAAATGAACAACAGGTAAATCAGGAAAGAGATTTACACTTGGAAAATAAGATTCGTCTGGTATCTTCATCCCATGTTTAGTTGGAATACATTTCTTTTTGGAGAGTAGCTCTTTGATCAATTCCTGATCTTTACTCGAACATCTTGCAACATTTCGAGCAATGATTCCCAGAACTTTTTCTGCGAATTCAGGATTCGTTTCTAACTGAGGATTTGATACTATAAACTGAGTCCAGGTGACAAGTGACAACTCTTTCCAGTCTCTTAAATTTATAATTATACACCGAAAAAGAGTTAGTTAGGATATTGAAAGTACTAAAGAGAAATCAACTACTTACCCGAACCATTTCTCAAGATCAGCTTTTTGAAAATTTTTGCTGATAGAATATGGCAACACTTCAGGAGGAACATCGTTCTCTGGTGAGATTACCGATGCGTTCAGAAAATATCGAGCCTTGCTTAACGGAAATATATCATTATCATTCAATTTAACAAT